ATGTTAAAAGGGATTATAGAAAAGTCCAAGTAATAAAGTTATTTGCAGAGAACACAATAGATAGGTACATACACAAAAGATTTGAAATAGAAATATTAAGACAGATATTTACATAATGAGAATAACAGAACAATACAACACAATTTGAACAGAAAAGTTGAAAAGATATTTACAAACAAGAATAATAAAAATAGAAATATGTACAGAAATATTTAACATGTTATGGCGGGCAGGTATGCGCGGCTACAACTATTTTCTTGCATGAACATAAAATATAGGGAAAATACTGCATTTCAATTTGTAAAACTTAAAATTATCGGCATATCAAAATAAGTTATGGGTTAAGCGGCTCGATTTGCATCACAAGTGTGGACTAGCCTTTAGAGTCAAATGTTAAAAATTCTATTTAGTTGTCGGAGATATTAATAATTCTGCTAATATTAGAACATTTTAACAACTACGTCCTGCTGTTCTACTTCCCAAGTTTTCAGTCCAAACAACTCTTTCCAGTTTCCAAAATCCTCAATCTCCCAGTAAAGCATAACACTTTAGAACTAAATATTTTCGTTAAAAATGCGCTGCATATATTAATTATTTATAATCCACATATTTCAATGTACCTAATGCTTAGAACGTGTCTACAACAATAAGTTTGTTCAGTAGAAATATGTAAATTACAAATTTCGTTTATTTTATTTATTTATATTATTTACGTTTCCTACATTGAGTTAGTTTGGCATATTTCTATATCTAAATTATTTCGGACTTTTTGAACGTATTCATATGAAAGTTATATAAGTAACATATATTTTATAGTGATCTAATCATGTCCAGGAAGCAAAATAAAATATAAATTTTCCGAAGGTTTTAAAAGCAAATCAAATAATACCAATCGTAAAACAAACAAATGTTAAAATCAACTTTCAAACCAAAGTTATAAGAACCGGTTAATTAAAATTTTAATATACATAGCCCCATATTTCAAAGAAAATATACATAGCTTTTATTTTGAAAAAGTTCGATTCCAAAATTATTACTTGTATGTTTAGTATTCAAAGAAGCGTTGAATGTATGAACAAAACTACTATAAAATAAGTTAATTCTAATGAGAATTTTCAAAATTAAATAAACCTGCTATAAAAGAATACACATTTTTACAAGTATTAAATATTTTAGGTCTGACCGTAAATTTTCAAATCATATAACATCGATGTAAAGTTTTCATAAGTTAGCGTACATGAAATTACATACAATACATCAATCATGATCTCTTATCATGAAATGCTAAAATTGACAAGGGTTGTCAAAAGATTTACACTGATTAAACGGTGTTTGTCGATATTACGTCAAACTTTACATTTTAAAACGTAAATTTTATAAACAATATCTTATCAAAAAGCATTTTAAGTCATAATCACAATTTCACTCCTTAGTTACATTTTTAATCTATCTACTGTACGTTAAAATAATTACAATTGTACCTAATAGTTATTCCCTTCATAATTGTTCGATTTTACGTACAGATAAAGAAAATTATCAAAAATATCTATGGAATAACAATTAAAAGCTAAGATTAAAACATAACGAGAAGATTATTAAAAAAGTTAATTCCAAAAAAAAATTGAATATTAAATTGTTATCGATAAAGAATTATTTTTTTGTGGAATTTATATCATATGGTTGGATAAAAAGATATGTAGTTCTTAAATTAACTTGTTCTGCGATAAACCTGTTATTGTACCAGAAAAAATTAAATACCTATGCTATTGCATATAAGTACCTACAGTTTACATCAGATGATAGTAATGGTATCACTTAGTCGGAAAAATAATTCCGAAAAGTGTCAATTATTTCATTGACCTCAGTTGACATTTACTTGCCTCATTTAGCACATCAACGTTATAATACCTGACGCAGAAAGAGGTGTCTTTTCATCGACTAGAGAAAATTGCCGGCTTTAATCAATATTTGTGCCTTTCCCTTCTAATCAAAGGGATGAGTGAGTTTATTTTCGTCGTTAAATCGAATTAACAAAGTTCCTTCATTTTGGCCAAGCGATAAATTAATGTACTCATTATAAATAAAACTAATAATGTACCGGTTATAACGAAAGTCCTGGATAGAAACCATTCTTTTTACACGTGTTGTTTGTTTATAACGATATCGGATACCACAACGACACTGATATAGTGGCGACTAATGTGGTGAACTCATTTACCTTTTTTCTATCATATAGATGTATCGACTTATTATTCTTTTATACGATACCAAGGAAAAATGACATTCGGGGTACGTCTTCATCCCCTTGTATTCTGGTCGCATTTATTTATAGTCCGATGCCTACATAGGTAGCTGCAAAGTACCCAAAAATGGTACCGTACTAAAATAAATTATGATGACAGTTTCACGTAATTAGACGATCGGGGATTACAGGGGACATCGAAATCACTCCCATTATTGTTAACGTTTTTATTTTCTTCTATATTTTTAGTCAAATGTTAGCTATTACTTGTCAGTTTTTTTAAGTATCTAATGTAAAAACTTCCAGTAAACTTTTGAAGCGTTAAATTTAATTAATGAACAATTAGGTAGTTGATATTATTGTTACTTGTATAACCCGTAACTGAATCCATTTAATACATCCCAAGTGTTAGTAATACTGTCTTGTAGATTCTAAGAAGCTACAAAACCAATACAATAGTAACGGTATGCACCAGGTAATGTTTTGCATTTCAAATAAACCTAATCAAGGATTTTCCAGTGGAGAATTATTTTTGCAATCATTGTTATTTATATACACGATTCCAAGTAGGCAGCATCGTTGATAATTCGAAAAAAAATAGAATATGGGTTTCATTTTTATGTATTTGAGTGAGTCATGTATATATCAATTTTCCGAAGTGGTAAAGTGTTATAAGTCTTCCAAACAAAATAATTTTCGTAAAATTAATGAAAAAGAAATTTCCCCATACGTATATATTGAATTTTCTTTGTCACATTTTCTTTTCTGTTGAATTTGTACGTATTGTTTCATGATGTATTCACGCTGTACTTTATATGAATTGTCGATTAGTCATTTGAATTTAATTGCAGAATGCAGTGGGGATTTGTATTTCGCATTACACACTTGTTATTTTTTACTGTGACGTCAGACTGTTTGTTTTGTGGGGCTGTAAAAAAACGTGATTTAGACTGGACTTAACACTTTCTAAAGTGAACGCGTTAGACACGCAAAGGAAACTAATACATTACAAAGCATTTTCATATTAACAGAGGAAAGAACTCGTTCTATTCGTTAATAGAATTTTTACCAATGCGAAAAATATATCGAGGGTAAATCAATATGAAAAGTGACGAAAATTATACTTTAAATTCACAAAACTTTCTTTATAGTACCTAACTCGCTAAAAAAATCACCCTGTATCTTTATATGAACAAAGGGCGGCCAAAGTGTAATAATTGATAAGGAAATGTAACAAATATTTACTTTACAATTAAACGAAATAAATTGAAAGAAATATCGTCTGTAAAATTATCGAATAAAATAGAACTATACACAAAAACGAACAACTAACTATTATTAGAAATGAACGAAATTCCATGTCTGTTACCGAAAAGTTCATCATTTCCGTTTTCACACAGAAACGACTAATGTTGATTACACATTTGCAATAATCATACGTAAATTATTCAACTTAGAAAGTCGTGCATTCTGATTACGTAGAAATATTAGCCAGTTTGCCACTACCCTCCCTAAAGGTATCCATTTGACTTTTCATTATAAGATAAAGTTAAATTTTTTACGAAAACATGTACGTAACCAATTTATATATATTACATAAAGTATACTTTACAATTAGAATTTTTAGACGTAACATGTATATTAATGATTTTTTTTTGACCTTACAGTTAAAGTTCAAGCATTTCTATTCAAGAAATTGTACATCTCGGTACTGAAAACTAGCATTTTTTTTAACGGATTCATTAGCTTTACTAATTCCCATTTCAGCAATTGTACCGAGATACTTCCAGTAGAAAACAATTTCAATAATACAATTTTTCGGTCTGTACTGTATGTTTGTACATACCCACCCAGTTTAGGCGTTTCTATTTCTGCCGGCAGTTCGATTTTTAATAAAATCAATCGCCTCGTGATCCACTCGCTCTTGTTCGCGCTTTTCGTCGCGAAAAACCTTCTATAATAACTCGCTAGTTTCAACCGAATTTTACCGGCAAAATCTAGTTCTTCTATGTACGTATATATATAGGTACACACATTGCTAGACACGAAAACAAGAGATAATCCGCAACATACTCCTGTACATGCATATAATATATAAGTAAGTATATTATGTAATACCAAAACAACTCATCACACCGTTTTATAATTACTTTACGTTTCACGTTTGGGTTTACAACATTGTATTATGTTGTAGCTGAACATCAATCGAATAGAATCTCAAACACTTTACTGTTCACAAATTCTTTACCTTACTTAATTACATACAAACGCATTTATTTGGTACCTTGACACATCAAAAAATTGTTCAGACTTAACAAATATTGAGCAGTTGGCATCTATATTATTAATTAGAAGGTGGTATACAGAAATACAGATAAAATAATTATATTTAAAAAACACTTAAATGGAAGTATTTCTTAACTAAAATTATGAAGTACGTGTCGTTTAATTCATCAATGTCGAAAAATACTTTAAAATTAAACAGTAGATAGATACTTAAAAATATTTATTCAACTCAATTTGAAAGTTACATAACTAATAAATGTGTTAATATTGTTTACAAAAGAGGAAAGATAAAAGTCCTGTAAAGTTTAAGAGACTTGTAAAAATAGGATATCCCTCATGAAAGTAAGAAAATGGGAATGACGATTGATCTTACAGTTACCTTACAATTATTAGGATTCCACTTTTCCTTGATATTCAGAACCTTGTCGCCTTAACAAAATCATAACAAATATTAATACAATTAAAAACTTACCTTGACCAACTCCTTCAAGCGTTCCCTTGTGTAGACATTGCCAATTTCTTCACCTAGGACACAGTCCAGAGTCCTCGAAATGGGATAGCTGAGAGGAAACGTCAGTACCATGACGATTTTGGTGATATGAATAGTTTTAGCACCTACAGCTAGCCCATGTCTCGAGCATACTGCTTGGGGACAGATCTCACCGAATATGACGATACACAATGTCGAAAAAATAACCGCAATCAACCCCGAGGTCAAATCGTCCAACAAAATCGTAAAAATCGAATTCACCAGCACGTTACCGAGCAAAATACTACAAAGAAGGAAATTTCCTTTTGCCCTTACGGGGGCGATGGCCCGCGCATATTTTCTTTCGGTTGGATTTCCGGTATTTACCAAGATTTTGAGTTCAGTTTGGTCCATGGCCATAAGACCGAGGTTCAGACCCGAGAACAAACACGAAAAACACAAACATGTAACGATTATCAATACTTGAACCCAAAGGGGAAGGAGTTTTTCCCAGGCCGAAACGCGTATCCACAATTCCGAACCCTGATGTACAAAAGGTCGCGTACCGTTAAAGATGACCTCGTCTCCTATCCGAATACCTTCTGTTGCACACAGGTATAGGGGACCATCTAGCATTGGTAGAGTTATTTGCACTTGGGCAGTATGATCCAACACAGATTCTCTTATAATCTGTAACAAAACAAAAATATCTTCGCTACTACTGCACGATGTTTCTTTTTATAAGTGACAAAGAAAATTATTTTATAATTTTATCTCAAAAAGCAGTATTTATTTTACATAAGATCCCCATTCATTTCTCTTCTCAGTTGCTTAAATTACATATTTAGCTAATAAAAACCTAAAGTAAAATAAAAAACAGCTGTGTTGTTAACTATTTGTAACTTAATATTATTTATTCATTATCACTGCTAAGCAACATTAAATTTCTTAAATTTTAGTAAAAGCCGCATCAAAATCGGTTGAAAAATAGATAAGTTGTTAGTTTTTAAAGTTCTTCCTTTTTCATTCTTATAAGTGGCGCCTAGGTTGTTTACTTCCGCATACCATTACGTACAGGTGTATCGAATTTGACCTACTTTTTGTCCTAAAAAGATGGCCGCCAACGTAACAGCCAATCAGATGCATCTACCTGCATCGAGCCGGTTTATAACAATTAAACTTACATATCCCAGTTAGTCACCCGCGATGCGTTGGAGGGTGCACTTCGTTACAAGACATTTAAGATTATAATTACGTAAATACTTGATGATTATTCTGTTTATTAAAATTACGCTGTTCTGTTAATAAAACCTCTAGGAAATTATATATTTATATATATTTATTTATTAATTTACATAAATATTAAAATTATGCTTATTACTGATTACATTCTTACCGGAAAAGGCTTGGTAATAGGAAATAAACATGTGCCTCCATATTGACCAGCTTCTTGGGTAAAAACCACAAGCAATTCTTCTATAAGACCGTAACCGAAAAGTCTAAGTGTAAACTTTCTTCCAGCTAAAAGTTCTGGTACTCCATCTTCATTAAAAAAAGGTTCTTTTTCCCCATTTTCAAAACGAAGACCGAATATCCTATAACCACTGCGACTATCAAGTTGACCTCTTCGAGATCGTGTATCATCCCTATAAAAAATGTGTTCAAATCAGCCCCTTCCTAATTAATATTATTCCTAATAATGATAAGTTCATGTAAATCCCCGGCTTACTTTACTATATCAAACCGTTACATTCTTTAAACATCTAACTTTTATTATAATTTGATATTCTATGTAGCTTATTGAACTAGTTGCATGCTAAATGATTGAATTTTAAATCTGTTCTTTGGATCGTTTAGGAATAGACTAGTATTATACTCCAAATTCGCCTCAATTAAGAGCTTGTCTAAATGGCACATCTATTTTATTTATAAACACAGAGTTGCGTTAAAAATAGGGTCCGGAAAATATATAAAATAACTGTATTCACCTACATTGCTTACATAAATGTATCGCCTGATTTATTTACAACAAAAGTACAATGAACTGTATCTTATAATAAATACAGTTATTCCCAGTTTTTCCACATCTTTCGCTGTTGCTATTAGAATTTATGTTACTTATTGAATAGGGAACATATTTAAACTTTACAAATATCATCAAAAGATTAGAATTAATTTTTGACCAAAACTAATAACATAATTCGCCTTGATTTAATAACAATTATCAAATGTTTAAAAAGAAACAGTTTATATTTGTTTAATTAAGATGAAATGAAGAACTAAATATAAATAAATAGAGATACAGAATCCAGAAACTATTAAATAATTATACAATAATAAGAATTAAAATAGATAATTAAAAATAGCAATGAAACTGAAATTTTGCAATAATTCAGAACTAATGAATTATACATACAATTTTATTGTAGGTACCTATATGAAACATTTTATCAAACGCAATTAGTAATGCATTTTAATAGTGTTTATTATTATTGGATGATAAAAGGGAAATCCAAATAAAATATTATTCATTAATTAAACTTATACCTAGCAACTTCTGCTGATAAACAATAAACGTCAGATTTACAAATCGATAATCTTATGTTTTATACTGCAAAAATAACAAACCACATCATTATGTTTGGTGAACTGATCAGAATGATAAAAATTAAAAAGGGGGTGAAAGTTGTGTATCTTTAAATAACTTTTAAAAAATCAACAAACTATAATACAACTGATTTTAAACAGTCAATATGTAGATAAAAAATACTTGCACTTGTATAGAGCTTCCATTGGAAGAAAAATTGGCAGAATCCAATTTAATAGCAACACTTTCACCCTGGTGGAACCAAGCGAGCTGATTTCCTGTAACACTTTGCTGAAGTCCTCTTTCACTTGGTTCTCGGGGTAAACAAAAGTAAACAGTCTGATTAAAAGTTCTCGGAAGTTGCAACTCATACTGAGTTTCATTCACATTTTCCTTGATAACATGAATTTCAAAGTTCGTCAAGTCCGTCTCCTTACACTCTGTATTTCGCGGAGCATTTTTTTCGGTAACTTTAATCTGCATTTTCTTTTGTAAATTTTTACCTTGCACCCCGAAAACAATTTTCCTGATTTCGACATCGTTAACAACTGATACACTATTACTTATTAATGAAACCGAATCAAATTCGGGAAAAGGAACTAGATGCGCTTTGCAAAAACCGATAAAACACAACAATAATAATATATTGTTGAATGAAAGGCGAGATACGCTCCTCGCCATCATAAAATACAAACTGAATGAAAATAAACTTGGACCGAGTTAATATTAACTACCCAGTAGGTAGAATGCACAAACGTCAGCGCAGATAAACTATGCCCTTCAAGTTGAATCATACTCATTCAGCACTACATAAGAAACATGGTGCAATACCGCGAAATAACATTTTAAGTAATTATGTTTTTACTTAAATTTAAAAAAAGGATCCTCCTTAACATGATTTAGCGTAATTGGCTCCCTTAATTACTAACATTTATTATTCCTTCGAAATTAACTGATGTTGAGTACATTTTAAGTGTAAAAGAAAATTAAACTGTACAAATGGAAAAATATTTAAATTTAAATTTCAATTACATATTTAAATGAATTAATTAGCATCTGGAAATAATAACTACAAAATAAAAGCTTAAATGCTTTTGAAATTATATAACATTTGTCAATAACTTTTATAGCTAATGATTAATGTTCTTTAAATAGACATAAATAATTATGAAAATTTTATTTAACGTACCAACTTTTATTGATATCCAATGACCTTATTAACGATAAAAACTGTCGTAAAATTGTGTATTAAAACCCTTCAGTTGCAGTTAATATTCTATTAAAGTTAGTTATCCTTTTACTAAATTTATTGCTAAATCTACCAAAAGTGTTTAAAATAATTAATTATTTCATTACTCCCTCTAAACTTTCATAAATTTAAGTTTTCATTGAAAGTATAAACTACTTTTAGTTTTATTTAGTTTTATTTGCCAAAATGCTGCAATACTTAAAGATACAGGTATGTAGTTTATTTTTATTTAAATATTACTTCATCATAATAAGTTTTGTTTCAAAAGAGCTTAAAGTAACGAAGAACAAATTAATTTATTTAATTAATGCAAATTAAACATTTGTTTTTTATTAATCTTGAGTTAGGCAACAGCGAACTTATTAGTTAAATGGGTTGCATACCTTTATAACTATCTATTATCTATGATAACTATTAATTTTTTATCAAATAAAAAGGTTATGTTTATATTTCATATTTGATTATAAAATAACTAATTTAAAAATATAATGTTGAAAATTTGTCAAAAGTTATTAAAGCCGAGTATTAAGCGCTTTACAGCCAGTTACAGTTATTCTACAGCTAAGGTACAAATAATTAAATTCTTAATATAGTAGTAGTATACATAAATATGTTATTTTTCAAAGGAATCAAAAATTGAAATCGATGGCCATTCTATAAACTATATTAAAGAAGGAATTGGTGACCACCATGTACTTTGCTTTCCTGGTGCATTGGGGACAATTTGGAGTGATTTTAAACCTCAAGTTGAAAACCTTGATAAAGATAAGTTTTGTGTAATTGCCTTTGATCCTCCTGGATATGGCTTCAGCAGACCACCAGATAAAAGTTTCGGCACGGATTTTTATGAAAAAGATGCAGAAATTGCTTATAAGTTGATGAAGGTACATATGCGGTCTTATAATACATTCACTTTACAATCAATGTTTCTTTTGTATGGTATTTTAGAAATTAGGGATAAAGAAGTTCTCATTGTTAGGATGGAGTGATGGGGGCATCTCCAGCATAATTTTAAGTGCAAATTACCCAGATTCTGTAAAAAAACTTGTAATTTGGGGAGCAAATTCCTACATCCTGCCAGAAGAAATCAACACTTATGAAAGCAAGTATATCATCCAACAGCTTATAAAATGAGGAACATGTGCACTTCCTAATCTATAAAATAGTAGAACAAATCATAAGTAAAAAACTAATTACTCATAAATCAGTATATTTTAGAAATAAATCAGTTTCAGTAATTTATTTCTAGAATTACGTGATATAAGTAAATGGTCTGATAAAATGAAGGCCCCATTAATAAAATTGTATGGTGAAGATGGTCTAAAAACATTGTGGAATAACTGGTGTGATACTTTGATAGAAATAGCAAAGAAAGGTGGCAATATTTGCAAAAATAAATTGGACTATATTCAGTGTCCCACCTTTATACTACATGGTTCCAAAGATCCCATGATTGCTGGTGAACATCCCGAATTTTTACTGAAAAATATTAAAAATGCAAAGTATATTACAAGTTATAATACAATTCAAAATTTTAATTTCATATCTTTTACAGGATAAAAATTTTTCCAGAAGGAAAACACAATATTCATCTTCGATATGCTGATGAATTCAATAAGGCTGTTACTCAATTTTTGCTAGAATGAGTTTCTTGTTTTAGCTAAAGCTAAAAAACAAGAGCTAAAAAAGGTTTTCTGAAGTTTATTTTGTAAGTAATGTATGTAAATAAATAGTCCTATTTAAAACATAAATAAATTAAACTAATTTTAAAACGGAATGAATAAAAAATAAATTACAAAAACTATTACCTCATCAGTAAATTATTTTAGTGTAGTATAAAGAAAGTTAAAATAATAATGGTATTTACTGATGAAACACTAAAACCAGAAATTCCATATGAAAACCTTTAAAAACCTAAAATGCTTTTTTAGACCCAAGTTATATCCTCAGGTAATAAAGTTTTTGTGTTGAATTTCGGGTTTTATGTTGTAGTGTTTTTATTTAGTTCGAATTACTCAATCTACAGAACTTTATCTGATTTTCTTATTCTACCTACTTTTGAAATAATTCAAACACATTAAAGTGATTTGACTAAGAACTTAATTTTAAGGGATACTTATAAATTAGTAACTACTAATTTAATTAAAAACGTAACGTTGGTAACTGATTTCACAATGGAAACTTTTAGATTTTGTAAGAAGAGAGAAGAAAAAACTATGTTTAAATTAGTTAATTCCGGGACAGCGCGTACGCAGTCCCGACTACCAAAAATTACGCGCCCGAGTTATCCACATTAGGGATAATCGCAGGGGTCAGCCCAACCGTAGTGCAATGGAAAGGCCTCACCCTGGGGGAACCGCCTTGTTGATCACGGTAACCCCTACGCCAGGTAAGTATGATTTCCTTCTGCNTTTCAAATAATTCTTAACACAAAGTGATTAAACAAATTGTTCACAAAAGTAAATTTTAACCACTCTAAGCGATAGTGCAAACAGTTCCGAGCTCACAGTTATAAGTAAAATATACAACAAATGTTAATTTGATGTACTTTCATTAGTAATAATACCTATTAGTAATACAAACTTAACTTTTAAGCTATAATGAATTACTATTTGTCTAACCTTTTCTGCTTTTTCGTTCTTATCCATATCTTTACATTGCTCCTCGACCATCTTTAATATCATTTCAGGGTTCGGAGCAAAAATGGCACATGTAACGACCTCGTTGTGCGCTTTAATGGCTTCCCAGAAATCGTTCCTGTCTCTTCGTACCGAGGAAAACTTGCTGTAGTCATGGTTCGTTTTCCACACATAAATATCACGATTTTCGGAACCACTTATTATGTATTTACCATCCGGACTAAAACTAGCTTTTATCTGGCTGCTAACATTAACGTATCCTTTGTATTTGCACGACAAACTAAGGTCTCGTAGGTCGTATAATCTGATGCGACTATCGTTCGAAGTAACAAGAATTTTGTCTTCACCTGGCATCGGTTCAATGCCACTTATTTTGCGACCAGTGGCATTCCGCCCCCGCGTCGATCGTACATGAATTTGAGTATAATACTTGAGCTGATCGGTTGTATAAAAGATACAGCGACCATCATATGAGCCCACAACAGCAAATTTACCATTTTGACAAAAATTTGCAGCTGTTATCAATCGTGATGTACCTTCTACTTCATTCCAAACTGCAACCTATTCAAAAACGAAAGGTAAGATATAATTTTTCCAATAAATTATAACATAACTTACCTTTTTATCTGGAATGTTCCAAAGTCTTAATTTCCCGTCCAAAGATCCACTAAGAAAATATCGGTCATCCCTTGGATGGAAAACGATGGCGGTCACGAAATCGATATGCTGGAAACAACACAGACATTCTTTACGAGAAATGTGCCATAATCGAACCGTTTTGTCCATGGAGGAGGAGAGAATGAAATAGTTTTTCGACCATGATACATCTAAAAGATCTGACGTGTGTCCCGTGTACGTGCAGAATGGTTTTGAGACGAAGATGTGCTTGTTCTTTTCCGATTTCCTAGTTTCTGGGGCAGCTGGGCTGCTGTCATCTATCGAATGGTGGGATACCAAAGACTCTTGAGAAGGCGTTGGTGAGACCTTTTCAGCATTGTATTTAGAACGCATATCCTAAAACGAAATTGGTGTAAAGTCAAAATTTGAAACATACAAAACTCGTACCTGGAAGAAGACGTAAGCGTCATTTATGACCCAAATCCGTAGCACTTTGTCTTGTCCAGCAGTAGCAAGCAGTCGTCCACAAACAGAAAATTTCATGCACCAAATGGCACCTTGGTGTTCGTCTTTAATCTCCTGTACATGCTGAATATTTTCCAACTCGTACGGCCCCTTATGTGAATTAGATGCCTAAAGAAGTCCACAAAACGAGAAATAAAACTTAAGTAGGTGATGTACCATTTAATTACATAATTAGTAATTACCTTTAATTTAATATTTTGTTCTCCTGGATTGACTTCGTCGATAATGTCGAGCACGTCTTCTTTGTGCCGGGCGTGCGACACTTCTTGCGCGATAGACTTAGCCTTGTGCATGGTTTTTTTAACTGTCGACCCAAGAAACCGTTTGATTTTAGCCGTCCGTTTCCGTACAACCCTACTAACATCCGCATCATTTTCTTCACCTGGGGGTGGTTCCGACTTCTTACTTCCCACGCTTTCCTCGTCTGATTCCTTTTCTTTTTCCAGACTGGAATTGCTTACGTATTCAGAAGTCAGACGCATTATGTGCAACGATAAAGGATTGATTCCTTGGGGTAGTTTTTCTTCCGCTACACTTAACGGAACCCGTTCCCCAGTGTCCAGGTTGAGAACCGTTACTTGTTCTAGAATTTCTCGATCGGTTAACCGTTTACCTGAATCGGTACGTGTACGGACGCAAATATTCATTTGTTTTAACATGTTCTCGTCCCCAGCTGACCTGCGGCGCTCCCTCGAATCGGTTGACATGACATGCCTACTATCCCTATAAATAAAACTATATTTCTATGACCACAGTTTCAAGTAAGGTTCATATTATAAATCCTAATACCTACTGCTTTTTTATTTTACAAATCATTTCAGTTTAAAAATTATTACCTGTGCGATCCTAAACTGTTATGTCCTACGCTTCCTCGACTTTTAGACGCCCGTGGACTGACGTTGGGCTGTTTATCGGTTTCTTTTCTATCATCTAATTGAAGAAATTCCATCTCTTCGCGGCTTGATTTGGCTGCTTTAAATTTATCATCGTCTTGGGGTTTAACTACATACTGTCCTTTAATTGCCTGTCTCAAATCTAATGAATGTACTGATTTCAATGTGCTTGATTTCGAAGATTGCGAACTAATAGAGCTCTTGTCAGAATGTAAGGACTTTCTCACATTTGCAGTCGTTGGCATCTTGTCTAACGAATCTTCGAATTCTCGAGTAAGAGATTCAATGGTACTTGCAGGACTAGCCAAGTTAGAATTAGAGAATGTGCCTGCACTGGTTGATTCCACAGGCTAAGAATAATTTAATTAGGAATGAGTTATATGTATACATCTTTTCTAGCACAAAATACTCACTGGAAGGGAAAGGAGACTAGTAACATTTTTGTTCTTTTTCTTTTTCCGCCTTGGGGGTGCAACAGGAATCTCCTTCTTTGATTCCAACTGAACTTTTAGGGAGTTTGAGGATTTTGTGCTAGCGATCACGTCAGGTTCTTGGAGTGCGATTACTTTCTGTGGTTGCGCATTTTCTGACAGAGCGGCTAAATTTTGATATTGTACAACATTTTTCGAACTAGACGCTGATTCAGAGCTTGTCGATAATGTGGAAGCAGACGCGCCAATTTGAGCCTCTTTTACATTAGCTGTAGCTAAAAATAGTGAATGACACAAAATAATAAATTAAATATTATATNAGATATTAAAAATCTGGATTGGAAATTAACAACGCTTAATTCTTTCTGCTTTCGGTATGAAGCATTTTTATACATTAAATTTAAAATTATAATAAGTACATGTCGAGGAGTACTTGGTAACCATTTACATAGACTTAATGTAAAAATATGACCCTTGTATGACAATAGTAAAAAAAATTCGCGTGACGTACTTTACACTGAGGATAAGATTAAAATAATCCACACAACACATAAAAAATATAATATGTGGACTTTGAAATTTGAAACGTAATCAGAAAGTTTAAAAATTATTATTAAAAATAAAACACACACACGTAAAAGTTATAAAACTTTTATTAGTAACCCACAATAATATTATTTTCAGTGGTTTCCTCAAAAAGGATAATTAAGATAGTAATAGAAATTGATTATCTTCCCACTTGAGGATACCACAATGTGGTGAATAATATTACTACGGATTAACAGTAAATGTTTTATAACTTCTATATGTTTGTGTTTTATTTGATCATGAAGCTACAAGAATTAAAAGTTATTATTGTTAGTTTAGTAAAAACTCCATTGGCTGCAAAAACATAAGTAGATGTTTAATATAAAACCACATTATACACAACACACATTTGAGATACAAGTATTAGGGTAGTGTGTAGGGGTGCTTGTCACAGTTAAATCCAGGATAGGAGAAGGCCTTAAAGTAGTTTTCGTATGTTGCAATACCTCCTCCTTCTAAATTCTTCAAATTTAACATTTTGTATGTTGGAACTTATAGATTAAATTTAATTCTTCTTTGTGACCTAATAAATGGGACTTTTAAGCAGTTTGACTTACTGTTATCAACAAGGCCTCCTAATATCCTTCCTATTCTACCAAGTGAATTAATACTTTGCAAGCTGAGGGCATCATGCTCAATTATTCGAAATGGATGCGATGTGCGATTATTTGTAGCAAAGATACCTTCGACTGAGGACGTTTGACTATCTGGTGGTGTGATGCAAGATGCCTGACCATCTTCATCATCGTTTTGTAGTTTTTTTCTTAATTCTTTAAAACGTTTACGACCACCTAGGTTTGCTTTGATCTGAAGAAAACACATTCAAATTGAAAGCAAACTACAACGCAGAAATAATCATAATGATAACATTATAGTAAAATATACTTACAAGATCACCATTTTCCTGTTTGCTATTTTTGTCTCCAATTCTATAGTTTTGTTCTTCATTTACAGTTTTACATAGGTTGGGTTCTGAATTTGCTTTGTATGATATGCTATTCTCTCTTGATAATTTACTACTTCGTCTGTGAAAAAGAGCGATGGGTTTAATTTATAAATTAATGTCAGTTTTCAAAATTCGCACGTTTTTTAAATACTCCAATAGCATAACTTATTTCAGTCACGTGATCAAGGCAAACCGGATTCAATACAAAAACTGACAATTTGTTTATTTCAATTGTTTATTAAACAAAACAGAAGTATGTAGAAAAGTGAAAATTGCTAAAAGAATTAACGTGAATGAGGTCCCAATTCAGGGTAAATAAAATCAACATTACTTTATCAGTTTTTGCAAATTCGATTTCAGCAACTACATTACCCTTTTGCACTTGCCTCTGTAATTGGCACGCACCACTGTCTTCAGCATCATAAAATTCTTCGGAATCACTACTGCTGGACATACTCTTGAGACATTTATCTAAATTCGTGGACTTTTTGCGATTAATTTGCTATTTTTACTAGTATTTACGTCCTTGTCTACGCCATTCTGTCAAAAAAGTAGCAGGAGCTCTGTTTGACCAATCCCATTACAGAAATGTCATTTTTCTTTTTAGTTGTCTGAGAGCGGTAGCACGAGTAGAACTCCGACTCGTAACCAACTCAAGGCTGTTCCTTCATCCAAGAATCAAATCAACATGGAGGGCTTAGTAGTGGAAGTATGCGGCGAAAATGGTGCTCTTTATAAGGTCTGTAGCAATTGAAGTATGACTTTATTTGCTTTTCTGTAAAAAGTGCCATATAGTTTATTGTTCCATTATCAGTTTTGCAAAATTTGTGTGTGAACTGATGTAGATTAACGGCACTTTTAAAATTCTTTTTCCAAACGCGCTTTTCTGACGCCATGAGCATTTGACAGGGCGTGATTATCCATGTGTCTTTTGGAAAAGAACGCTCGAAATAAGTTTTCATGAACATAAAACGTGTAGTTTTTCATTCGGGCTTAATTTTTTGAGGCAATCCCCGTTCGGTATGAATCATTTAGGTTATATTTTATTGTGTATCATATTACAAGTAAATTCCACTCATACGGGTTTAAACGAGTTATTTTGGTATTTTATATAAAATTAAAGCTTATTTAGACTATCGTACGCTTTTAGGGCTACATAATGGACATCTTCGACGAGGAAGTGTTAATACATTTTGAGGATGAGTAAGTAATATTACACTAGTATTGTACCACTGATTTGTTCAATAATTTTGTTTGTAGATGGCAACCAGATTCAAAATTTCCGTATTCTCAAGTACGGTTTCCCCCTAAACAACACGAAAAAGTTGAGTTTGCAGAAAACCAAGAGGTTGAAGTTTACTCACGTGCCAATAACCAAGAAGCAAATGGATGGTGGAAGTGTAGGATCAAGGTGAGATATTTTCAAATATAAACCAAATCCTCACCAATTTCTTCATCACCAAAGGCATAAATGTCTTTATTGATTATCGATTGTGAAGTTTAACTTAATATTCAAATATTTATGCCTCACTAAGTATAAAAACTTTGACATCCAAAATCAATTTGAGCATTTCAAAATATTTTATCATGTTGCAATCATTCACAGCAGTTGTAAACTTTGTTTATTAATTTCTATACTACTAATGGTTTAAATGCTTTTACTGATCGTTTATTATGAGTGTTAACTTAATATTCGGAAAGTACCATAAACATAAAATATCTATTTTCCAAGATCAACTTGTACATTTCCAACTGGGAGCATATCACAAACATCCACAAGGTGTTTTGAAGATTTTTTTTTTTAAATTTTAGGAAATTATACGTTGGTTAACATTGTAAATGAATAGGATCTTGTTTAAAAGTTTATTAATTAATTGTTTTGAAAAGCTACATTATGAATGCCATGTAAACTTTGTTTAGTGGATTGATAGTGACATATTGATAAAAAAAGTATCACCCAAAGTGAATATTTGCAGATGATTAAGAGTGAATCTTTCAAAAAGCGAAATTTTCCAGTGTTTCATTGATGTACATTATGTATATTGAAAGTAAACAAGTTATTTGTGATATTAAATAATTTATATTTCTTATTTTTAGAGGTAATGTGATTGCATTATGATGTGTGTAAAACAGTTGTGTTTTTTTGTTAAAACTAGACAGTTTATTTGAGCTAAATCGTAGTAGTGTTGCAATCACTTGATTAGTAAGTGGTAAAATGTTGATTTGGTCAAACCATTTTCCTTACAATAATTTGTTTATTTTCACCTATTGATGAGATACAGTAAAAGTAGTAACATTTTTTCCAAAACTTATTGCCCTTCAAAAAGGTCACTATAATAATAAATTGGGCATCTTTTATTTTAAATTTTTACAGTGGCCTATTTGTTTTCTTACATTTTAGCTGCCATGTGACCAGATGGTTAATAGATTAAAACGTAAGGGAAGACAAAGATAAATTAAAAAGTGTTGAACTTTTGCAGATGATGAAGGGCGATTTTTTCGTGTTGGAGTACCTGGGCTGGGACACGACGTATACAGAAATTGTGAGCGTCGATCGACTTCGTCCCAAGAACACCAACCCGCCCATTGACCGAACTATGTTTCACAAATTTGAAATTGAGGTTCCTGAAGAAAGTAGAGAATAGTAAGTTAAATGAAGATTTATTTATTTGTCTAGTATTTTTTTAATATAGCTAACAGCAAAAGGTGTTAAATATCCAAATGTCTGTTTTTTTGTTTATATTCTTTCTACATTAATGTTATTTTTTAGTGCTAAACATCCATTTATTATTAATTTAGCATTTTTCGTGTTTGTTGTTTACATATAAAGAATTTTATATTCGATTTTGTTTTCAATTTTAGTGCTAAGATAGAGAATGCTCATAAAGAATTCCAACGGTCGATTGGCGCGGGCGTGGTCCGTTATGTGCCCGAACGAGGGGTACTGGTGGTGATATCGAGTTCGGACACAAGTCGCAAACGAGCATCAATGCTTCAAGACATGCATTTTCGCAGCTTGTCGCAAAAGGTACTCTTGCTTAAACGAACGGAGGAAGCCGCGAGGCAGTTGGAGAGCACCAAACTTGCAAACGTCGGAGGGTGAGCCACGTCTTATCATTCACATTATATATTTATTTTAATTAAAGCTGACTACTCGATCCTTTAAAAAATTACATATTTTAAATATGTAATTGGATTGAAAAAGAATGTTTAGGTGATGTTTGTAATAATTATGACAAAATAGGAATCTGTGGTACTTTGTTCCTTAGCATGAGTTTTAATCCTAAATTAAATTATCACAAATAATTCTGTTTTTACATGAAAAAGTTAATTGTGCAAGAAAATAGAAAATTATGTTTTGATCTATATTAAAACAGAATAGGGTATGATAATTTAATTTTGATTTTTATTTCTAAGGAGTTGTTTTTCTGTAATAATAGTGTGAAATTGCATTTTCGTGATCTTATTAACAATTTTGGACTTTAACACATTAGAATAAGGCATTTAATTAATATAGATCTTAACGTACTTATTTATTAAAGATTTAGACTACCTAAGAAAAAAATTAAATTAGAAAGCCAACGACAGTTCTTAATTTAATTAAATCGAAGGCATGTTAATTTGAAATTTGTTGCTCCTATTTAAATTTTCAGCAATTTGTCAAATAGTTATCTTCGAAATATTATATATAAATGAAATTATAGCAATTTCTTATGCTGAATGTATGATGTGTTGCATACCTATTTAGAAACAATTCCTTTAAATTTAATTTTTAACACAAAGAAAGTGATTAAACAAATTGTTCACAAAAGTGAATTTCTACCACTCAAAGCAATGGTGCTAACAGTTTCGAGCTCACAGTGACTTATAGGGGGGAAGAACTAGTGCTAGTTAATAATATGTTATTACACAATGTAATAACTTATTTATCTGAAATCGAATCTCATTTTCCAATAACTACTAAAATATTCAATTGCTTCACCGTCAGATACATTATTTATTAATTGACCAAATTATCATCTATCCAACGTATTAAAAAGTTGTTATAAAGAAATTAAACTGTGAATAGTTTGTTGTTATTTTTTGACCATTAACTCATGAAGTGGACAAAATAAAATACTAGCACCGCCAAAAAAGGTTTCAACTCTCAGTTGTTGATTTTTATTTATTCGGAAAGTAAATGAAAAAAGGTGTATTACTTGAAAACTGAAATGTTTTCAAACTTGAGATTACCTCGGCTTGATTTTAATTTATTGAAATGTGAGACAAAACCTTCAAAGAGAAATGAAAAAAGAAGTAGAAATTAATACTGCACCAGGAATGGAGCTTCGTTATTGATGTTTTGTTGGTATTTCTCTTTTCAGCAAAGGTAGGCCCTCTTATCATCGCGTTGGTAATTACGAGGTCGGGCGGGGGGCAGGCTCCACCAGGTGAGGTTTAACCGCAACTTAAACAGTGCGCATGCTCGTAGCTATCTATCTATATACATATATTTAATTACGTAATACGTATTGTATAATTCTTCGTCTACCTATATACTTTTTTTTGATATATATATTTATTTTTGATGTTCTGCCTCTGTGCCGGTGTCACCAGATGGCCCCCGGCCCGTTGCCTCTCCAGTCATTCCTGGCAGTATTAATTTGTGGCTCGTTGTCGTGTATATATGACATAAATATATACAGTTATTTTACAATAAAATGTTTGTATTAGGTATCATTTTTGTATGCATACCACAAACACACTCATTGCGGTTTGTCTCACTTCACTTATAACAAAAAAAAAGAACGGCATAGCACTATGTAGACTCTTGGTCCTGTTACATGGGTTACAAGGCATGTTATGTTTTATTTTGTGCTTTATTGTTTCTCTTTTTCGCTATCCGTATTTTATTTTCTGGGTAGTCTGTCTGTTTAACTGCCAGGAGATGAAAGTTGCATGCCTCTAGTTAATTTTTTTGAGGGTTTGTGGTGTAGTAATCGACGAATGACCTACGTGCATGAAATTGTAAATGTTGTAAAGGATGTACCTGTGCTAGTGTAATTTTTAAATAAATGTGGAACTTTGTCAGAGACGTTTACAGTTTTTAAATTGAAAATACCTTGGGGAACAAAAGGGTTTCTGTTTTAAAGTAACTGAATTATTTGTGTTAATTTTAGAGGTATTTGCGTATAAATTGAATTGAATTTTTTTTAGATATTCGGACGAATTCAGTGTGCGGGAGGATTTAATGGGCTTAGCGATAGGGGCCCATGGGGCGAACATACAACAAGCACGGAAGGTCGAGGGTATAACGAACATCGAGTTAGAAGAGAACTCATGTACCTTTAAAATCTACGGAGAGGTATTCTATAATTTTTTACAATTCTATATTATATTGTTTTGTGTTGTTACTTTTTTTTGTCTTGTAGAGTGATGAGGCTGTTAAGAAAGCACGTTCAATGTTAGAATATAGTGAAGAATCTCTGCAAGTGCCACGTACTTTAGTCGGTAAAGTTATAGGAAAAAATGGTAGGATTATTCAAGAAATAGTGGATAAAAGCGGAGTCGTAAGTTTTAAATATATAATATATACAGTTCTCTTTTTATACATTATGGGTATACGAGGGTGGATTGATAAGTTTCCGGCCTGACCAAGAAAAACAAGGTTTTTAAAAATTTTTTTTTTTTATTTCTCAACATAATCTCCTCCAAGGCTGATACATTTCTCATAGCGGTGTTCCAGTCTATTAATGCCATCTCTATAGACTGATTCGTCAAGCTCCTCAAAATAACCATTTACAGCTTCGATTACTTC